GGGCTTTGAAACTGACCTCCGCACCTCAGCCTTCTGCGGGAAACAGATGGGGGTGGGAGCTTTATACTAAGCGGACCCCCCCTCCTGCGGAGCACGGCTTGGAGGACGGGGGTTAGGACTGCATGACACCCCACCTTCCGAGGGCCTTAGGACTGTGCCACCCCCGGCTGGGAAGATGCACTTGCCCTCGGTAGAGCTCGGGGCTCCAGGACCCCTCTCCAGCCCCTCGGCCCCGTCAAGTGGAGTCTCTTTATCCCGGAAGGCTCCACCGGGTTGGTCCGGTAGAAAGACAGGGGTGAGAGATGTTCAGGCAGGTCCTTTGGACCCGGGAGGTTCCTGCCGCTGCATTTCCGAGCTGAGTGCAGATGGGGGTGGGGGCGGCAAAAAATTAACTCAAACAATATTGCTCAGAGTTACCTATTACAGTGTCTTTAGGCCAAAGCCAAATATGAGCATTTTCTTCCCATTAGCAAGACTTAAAGAGGTTATTAGCCTTAAATGTAGATTTGCTTTAGAATCTTTTAATCTGGGAGTTTCCACTGGCAAGCCCTTTGGGGGAAATGTGTGCGTGGAGGGAGGGGGAGGAAGGAGAAAAGTTCATCCTTCAAGTGTGAGTGTCCAGGACATCCTGGGTCTGTCCTTCCTCTCAGATGGGGAGGATCAAAGGGCAGCAGTTTGAGGGTGGGCAGTGCAGTGAGGACCTGGAGGCTAGAGCTTTGCAGTGGAAAGCTCCAAGGCCAGGGTGAGGGGAGAGCAGGGGGCTAGGGCTGGAGAGAACTCCAGAGTGCCTCTCTCTCAATGCGACTTTAAACAGGTTGGGTTGGGTTTATATAGACAAAAGGTTCTGTTGCACTGTGCTTGCTGGTTTTTGAAAATTCAAATGCAGTGAAGGAGTTTGGGTGTGGGCATGCCTTCCTGGAATAAGACACCTGCAGGCTGCAAGGTAACCGCAGGGACTGCTCTGTGCCACTTCCTGGTCCCAGGGACGGGGAAGGAAGGAACGCATGGACAGATCTCCCTAACGTGATGTCCCGGGAAAGGCTGAGAGACGCCGCTGTTCCAGTCACATACGGGTCCCAGGCAGGCCCAAACTGCATGTTTAGTAATGCACCCCAACAGGCGAAAGATTCGGGAACTGCAAGGGGGTGACCTGAGCCAGGTCAGGAGAAGCGCTGGGGAGCAGGGCACACAAGGGTTCGTGGAGTGTTGGCCTTATGATCGTACACTGAACTCTGCACACATGCTTGATGCACCGTCCTATGTGCACGCGTGCAGCGCCCACAGCATGAAAGAGTGAGGATGGGGGTAAAAACGGGCTCCAGCTCCGGCCCTGACGCAGGGACTCCAGCTGCGTGAGCAGAACAGCATACATCTCAAAGGGCTGGCGCCTTGCAGGGGTCACGTTCCAGTTCTGCCACTAAGTAGTTGTGTGACCTTCACCAGGGCCTAAGTCTGGAGGAGATACTGGAGACAAGAGTAGTCTAGATTCCTAGCGTTGTTGCAGGATTATTAAGGCCGCAGAGGGGCCCCGGGCCGGCTCAGTCGGTGGAGTGTGCAACTCTTGATCTCGGGGTCGTGAGTTCAAGCCCCACGTTGGGTGTAGAGATTACGTAAAAAGGAAAAAAAAAAAAAAAGACTGCATAAAGAGACTGGCACAGGCCTGGTTTGGGTGCAGATCTACCAGGGGGCTAACCTTTCCTGCTACTGTGTCATTGTCACTGAGCACGAGGTCATGGGTCATGACTGTTTCATCACTGTCTCAGTGCTCATGGCTGCAATCGTGAGCTGAAGGCTGCATGCCCATGTGCCTGCTCATGGAGAGGCAGAGACTGGGACTTTCATCCAGTTTCCCTGGGCGGGGTGGGGGTGGGGGGGTGGGGGGTGGGGCACGGCGGGGCTGTCTGTGCTCAGCCCCTGTTCCAGTCCACTCTGTGTTCACAGAAATCCCCCTTCGCTGGGGTCGGCGAAGGCAGGTGCCTGGGAGGGGCTCCCAAGTCGCCTGTCTGGTACCACCTGTGGGGCTGTGTCCAGCTCACCTGCCCTTCCCCCAGGGGGTGGCTCTAAGCACTCTCCTCCCTTCCCCCACATGCCCACCATCTCTGCGGACCAAGCGCCCACTCATTGACTCTGGGGCCCCTCTGGGGCTGGGGGGGGGGTCACACCTGAGCAGGAGGAGCTTGGAGGTTGGCAATGGTGCCTGTGCCTGGGGCGGCCACCCCTCCTCAGGCTCAGGGGCGCAGGGAATGTAATTGACATTTATATTTTGCACACACCCCTGCACTGCTGCACGGGAAGTGAGTGCTCTACACTTTTTTTTTAAAAGATATTTTACGTATTTATTTGACAGAGAAAAGTGAGAGAGCACAAGCAGGGGGAGCCGCAGAAGGAGAGGGAGAAGCAGACTCCCCGCTGAGCAAGGTACCCGATGCAGGACTCGATCCCGGGACCCTGGGATCATGACCTGAGCCGCAGGCAGCCGCTTAACCGACTGAGCCACCAAAGTGAGTCTTTTAAAAAAAAAAAAAAATTTTTTTAAGGCAGAAGCTGTGGATCTCTAGTGTTGTTCATGTTCTCAAAAGCATCTCGAAAAAAAATGAAAAAAAAAAGCATCTCGAAACATTTTTTGCTAGGGGCTCAAACCAGAACTCATGTGAATTCCAGAATCTGTTCCTTGCACAAAAAAATCCCTAAGCCAACCTTTAAGTGGTGAGGAGATCAAAGAAACACCCCAGTGGGGAGAGCCGAAAAGCTGGGACCCCCACTTTGCTCTGTTTTTTGGAATTCAGAGGGAAAAACCTCTTACAAACAGTTGGTCAAGCCCCTCTTCCAACCCCCCCCCCTCAAGTGACCCTCGCCTTTTGTGGGGTTTGACTGGTGGGAAATCCCAAAAGTCAAAACAGGGAACAAAGAGGAGACCTTGACTGAATCAGAATGTTGGTAGAAGCAGGAGGGTGAGGGGATTTGGAACCTAGTCAAGAACTTTCATGTACTAGCGCTTCCCTGAACGACCCAGATATCGTTATGACAAAAAATCAAATTGTTGTCCTGGTTGCAAGTTGCCAGAACCTTCTAAATAGAAATGCTGCAGTTTGTTTCAGGCTCCCAGGCCCTTGGACTGGGGTTTGGGGCCCTTGGGGCTTCTAGGTGAGGGTCCCTCCTGGGAGCTTGACTCCCTCAGGTGCTCCCTGAGAGGCCAGCACCTGACCAGTCTGCACCAGGCCTGTCCCTGGCCAGGCCTCAGCTCCAGGAAGGTTCTGGAAGCCTCTGCAAGCTGGCTGGGCAGGCCCTGCAGTCCCAGGCTCCAGGCTGACTGGAAGTACCATGAGCACAGGGTGGTGGGCACATGGTCCGGGCTGCTCGGCCCCACCCTTGGCCCGGAGAGCTCTGAGCCAGTCCTGGCAGGCTCACCTGGCCCCCCTCGGGCTGCACTGGCCTCTAGTGGCCGAGCACAGTCGCTGCCCCACCGCCTCCCTCCCTGCACAGGGGCCCAGCAAGCGCCCTCAGGGAGCAGATGGCCAGATGGCAACAGGCCCGAGTGTGCGCACCGGTGCGCACACAGCTGCTGCAGCCCGGGGAGCACGCAGCCCCTGCTGGGCCACACAGCCTCCTAACCACACGGCCAAGCTGGGGCTCCTGAGGCTCTCCGCAGGCTGGGGGGGCCCCTCCCCCTCTGCTGGACACGTGGTAAACTGAGGCTCAGAGCGCATGGCACATGCGGCTGGGGGGCGCGGTGCAGGTGCTGGAATTCAAACTCAAACACCTCGGGTCTGATCTGGTCACCAAGCCCCAGAGAATGACCTGAGCTGGCAGACCAGGAAGGGACAATCCAGTCCGAGCCCCTGCTGGGGAAGGGAGAGGGCCCGAGGGGGCTTCCCAAGGACCGAGGAAGGCCTCAGAAGGGAGTGATGGAGCCGAGCCGAGACTGCTTCGGTGGTGGGAGAGGGGGATGCCGGTGCCGCCCCGAAGACTCAGCACTTGGCTGGCCCGCACAGTGTGGAGGTACTTAATTCTGTCCTTTCCTGCCCCCCCACACCCACATCTCGAAGCCAGTGTGGGGAAGCACATCGTCTTCCTTGATTCTTTTTCCCTCTGCATATCTCCCTTCTTTTTTTAAGGATATATTTTACATAGGGACGCCTGGGCAGCTGCCTTCGGCTCAGGTCATGACCTCTGGGTCCTGGCATCGAGTCCCGCGTTGGGCTCCCTGCTCAGTGGGGAGCCTGCTTCTCCCTCTGCCTTTGCCGCTCCCCCTGCTCGTGCTCTCTCTCTCTCTCTCTGACAAATAAATAAAAAAGTCTTTTTAAGAAAAGGATATATTTTACACAGCATGAAATTCACCCATTTTAAGGTATACGACTCAGTGTTTTTTAGTATATTTGCAAAGTTGTGCAACGAGCACCACTGTCAAATTCCAGAACGTTGTCATCGCCCTGAAAAGAAGCTCATACCATTAGCAGTCTCCCCCCCACCTCCCTGTAACCACTTGTCTACTCTGTGCCTCTGCTATAAGTGGACATCTCCTATAAATGGGACCCTACAATCTGTGGCCTTTTGTGGCTGGCTCCTTTCACTGAGCAGCATGTTTTCAAGGATCCTCCACAAATCAGGACTTTGTTCCTTTTATGGCTGTATGATACCCTGTTGTACGAATACACCATGTTTGTGTAGCCATTCATCACCTGATGGGTATGTGGTTTGTTTCCACTTTTTGACTTTTTTGAATACCCTCCCTTCCTTTTAAAAGGAGGAAGAAAAGGCAAGACATTTCTCCCTAAAGAAATTGCACACAGGGGCACCCGGGTGGGTCCGTTGGTGAAGCATCTGCCTTCAGCTCAGGTCATGATCCCAGCGTCCTGGGATCGAGTCTCGCATTGGGCTTCCTGCTTCTCCCTCTCCCTCTGCCACTCCCCACTGCTTCTACTCTGTCTCTCTCGCTCTCTGTCTAATAAATAAATAAAATCTTAAAAAAAAACAAATTTTTTTAAATTGCACACAAAATCTGTTTTGAAATTATTCTTTATTTTTTTAAAGAAAATGAAGTGGAGTAATGGGGACAGAGTGGTGGGAGAGCTCTTTGAGGTGAGGTGATCTGCAAAAGCCTCCCGGCCAGGTGACAAACAGGCCTGGGGAACATCTGGGAGAGGCACATTCCAGGCAGGACCGATAACAAGTGCAAAGGGCCTGAGGCAGGTGTGTGTGTGCTAGGGGTGTCTGAGGCCACGGGGGTGGAGGACAGTGAGTGGCAGGGGCTCACGTGGACCCCAGCCAGGACTTGGGTTTTTCTTGTGCGTCTGATGGGAAGACCTGAGGCAGCGAGGACAGGAGGTGCAGTGATGCAGATCTTTGCCTTCCCACCATCACCCGGGCTGATCGGAGGTGGGTTTGGAAGGCCAGGGCCACAGTCCAGGCATCCTGATGGGACTGGTACGGCCGTGGAGGTGGGAGAAGTCATCAGAGCTGGGCTGAGCTTTGGAAGGGAGTGAGCAGGACTTGCCCTTGGAGTAAAAGTGGGGTTGTGGGACATAGAGCCATCAAGGTCCCCCCCCCCGGGCGGAAAGGCCCCGACAAAGGGCCCCGCCCCCCCCCCCCCCCCCCGCCAGGGTCTCCTTCCTCGACTCACCTGGGGAGCACACCCCGGGGCCTTCTTCCTTGAAGCCTTTTTGTCAACAGAGGGTTCGCGTGTGCAGGATCCAGTGTTTAAGTGAGAAGCACTGTGTGCAGCACCCCCTGGGGCTATGGGGAGGCAGAGATGGAAAAGGCCCCCATTTCTCCTTCAGGAAGCTTCTATCTCCCCATGTCCCTCTTGGAGGGAAGAGAGTGATCTGGGAGGCACCCCTCCTTGTTTATTTCTCTTGCTCAGCTTGCAAAACATTCCCAGGGTGCAGGGAAGATGAGCATGTGACCGTGAGCAAGCATGATTTCATCAGTGACTCTACAGGAACTTTACAGATGAAGTAAAGAAAGTCCCCAAATCCCAATTGTATCTTCTTAAAAATTAAAAAAGAAAAAAATGAAAAGGAAGCTTTCCACACCGGGACGGCAAAGCCTGGGAGCTAACCCTGTCGCTTTGCCTCTTCCTGCATGAGTCCCCTCCCCGGGAGGGACCTTGGTGTCCTATGTCCTCGTCTGAGAGACAAAAGCATACAGCAGGGAGGGACATTCCACCCGGGAGGGACCAGCTCCTGTGAGCAGTGACTGAAAGACTGGTGCTATTTTTGCCATTGTCATGATGGAATGAATGTCTGCTCACCCCAGCGCCTTAGCACTCAACACCAGAGTCCAGCCACCTGCCACGTGCACGTGTTGGGAACACTACACAGGCCTCCTGGCTCTGGTTCCCCAGAGGAGGAGGGAAGGACAGTTGCTCAGAGGCCAGGGGAGGGAGCCGGCCACTCTGGGATGCTGGGGCAGAACATGGAGCAGAGAAACCTGACCCTGAGTCTGAAGGAACCCCCCACCTCTTGTGCCCTCGACAGAGCCTGGGGGCGGGGTCATCCGGTCTCCAAGGAAATCCCAAATTCCAGGAAGCATGGGAACTTCGGCCATCTGGCACCTGGTCGGGGGGATCTAAGACCCATGTGGCTTCAGGGACGCCTGGGTGGCTCAGTCAGTTAGACATCTGCCTTCGGCTCAGGCCGTGATCCCAGCATCCTGGGATAGAGTCCTGCATGGGGCTCCTTGCTCGGCGGGGAGTCTGCTTCTCCTTCTGCCTGCCACTCTCCCTGCTTGTGTGTTCTCTCTCTCTCTGACAAATAAATAAATAAAATCTTAAAAAAAAAAAGGCCCATGTGGCCTCAAGGCAAGAGGTACCAGCCCTGAGGAGCCACCAGTGCCAATGGGCTCCTGGTCCCCAGACCTGCCAGGGAGAAAAGGCATTCCCTCATCCAAGGGAAACTCTCTTTTCATAGAGGGGTCAACCGAGATCCCTAGGGAAAAAGCTGGCCTGAGGTCCTGGAGGCTCTGGGAGTCATCTGGGGGATGCAGGGACACAGCCCGGGGAACTGGGTCCCACCCAGGCAACAGGGGAGCCCCGGGGCCCCACCAGCCCTGCTGACAGGGGAGGGCCCTCTCAGGGGCAGGGGTGATGAGTCATGCATTGTTGGAACTTGGTGTGCATGCTGAGACCTGCAACTCGTCAAGGAGAGCAGACCCTGCCCTGATCAAAAGGAAAAGAGATGGGTGAGAACACCATAAATAGGCAAGAGCCACCAGGCTTGGCTCCGGACACAGGAGGTGCCCTGGGGAGGTGCGTGGTCTGGGCGCCCACGAAGCTAAGGATAGCAGCTCTCGTCGACATCCATGGCTGGCCGCCGCCTGCTGCAGGGGGTCGGGAGGACAAGCAGGGGCTGTTGGCAGAGCCCTCGGTTCCTGCAAGTTCCAACTTTTGCCGAAATTGGTTAATTGGTTGCTTTGCAGGTTTCAAGGCACATATGCATCTCTGTCCACCAAATTCGCTCATGTGCTGGTGCACCCAGAAAAATGAACGTGGCGTGCTTTTTCCAGCCTCACACTTGTGCAGAATCGACAGCGAGTATTTGCTGGGGGCTGTGCCCTGTCACTCGAGGAGAGTGGGCAGGGCCAGCAGCACCGGGCTGTGAGTCAGAGGCCTGGCAGTGCCACAGGCTGTGGCCTTGGGCAAGCCCCTTCTCCTCTCTGGGCCTCAGTCTGCTCCTCTGTGAAATGGGCTGTACCCATATCCTGCGGCTGATGTAACAGCATCCCACAAACTCCATGGCTTAAAACAACACACGTACTCTCCTGCGGGTTAAATCAAAATGTCAGCAGCACCGCATCCTTCCTGGAGGCTCCAGGGGAGAACCCATTCTCTTGCCTTGCCCAACTTCTTGAGGCTGCCTGCCTCCCGTGGCTCGTGGCTCGTGGCCCTTCCTCCGGGTTCAGAGCCCACAGTGGCCCTTCTCACATCGCGGCGCTCTGAAGCCAACTCTCCTGCTTCCCCCTTCCAGCGTTAAGGATCCGATTATATTGGACCCACCCAGATGATCAAGGGTGGTGGGGGTTGAGCTGGGGGCTTCTGCGGGGAAGCCCTGCTCACACAGCCCATCAACGCCAAAGAATGGGGCCGTGATGTCCGCAGAAGCCCGAAGCATCCCTTCATCAGCAGTCACGTCTGACCAGGGTGTTCCTGGAAGAGAAAGGAGGCCTTTGCTCCAGAGTGGAGGCCAGGAGCAGGGGAAGGCTGGCCCTCTGAGAGATTCCGCCGGGACCCTCAAACCTTCACCACACTTCTACAGAGATGTTTCCCGCAGCCAAGACTCAGGGGAGGATCCTGCCTTTCTTTTCTTTTCTTTTCTTTTTTTTAAGATTTTATTTATTTATCTGACAGAGAGACACAGCGAGAGAGGGAACACAAGCAGGGGGAGCGGGAGAGGGAGAAGCAGGCTTCCCCGTGGAGCAGGGAGCCCGATGCGGGGCTCGATCCCAGGACCCTGGGACCATGACCTGAGCCGAAGGCAGACGCCTAACGACTGAGCCACCCAGGCGCCCCAGGGTCCTGCCTTTCATCTGGGCCACACACCACTGCTGAGCGCCTCTCCGTGCCCAGCTCTGTGCTGGATGTGGGGCCCGTTCAATCAGATGTGCTGGCCTGTTCTCACCAAGTTCAGCCTACTTAACACATACTCGTCAAAATACTGTGGGATAAAACCAAAGGACAGGGTCACTCCAAAGAGAAAGTTTTGTCTCCCCATGGTGAGGGAGAAAGGTGTCTGAGAAAGCTTTCCGGGGTAGACGGGTTTTGAAGTGTGAGTAGGAGTTCACCAGCTAGATGGGAATGTGGAATTCTAGCTGGAGGCAACAACTTGTGCCAAAGCATAATAGAGGAACAGAACACTGTGTGTGTGTGTGTGTGTGTGTGTGTGTGTGTGTGTGTGTGTGTGTTGGGGTGGGTGGAGAGTATAAGCAGTTCGGTATTACTGAGGGTGAGATGTGGGGGGCAGGGGTTGGGGGTGAGGCCCCAGGTAGGCAGGGGATGGGTTAAGGGGTCTAGCCTTTACGCTACAGGTGATGTGGATTTTAAGCTGTAGAGGGACATGGTCAGGGGTGGCTGGGAGAGTAGCAAGGGTTGGGGAGGAGATGCATGGACAAGACCAGACGCCCATGCCAGCATTATCTTGATCCCCAAACCAGACAAAGGCCCCTTCAAAAAGGAGAATGACAGACCAATATCCCTGATGAACATGGATGCCAAAATTCTCACCAAGATACTAGCCAATAGGATCCAACAGTACATTAAAAGGATTATTCACCACGACCAAGTGGGATTTATTCCTGGGCTGCAAGGCTGGTTCAACATCCGCAAATTGATAAATGTGATACGTTGCATTAATAAAAGGACAAGAACCATATGATCCTCTCAACCCATGCAGAAAAAGCATTTGACAAAATACAGCATCCTTTCTTAATTAAAACTCTCCACAGTGTAGGGATAGAGGGAACATACCTCAATATCCTAAAACAACCCAGCAATTGCACTATTGGGTTACCCCAAAGATACAAATGTAGTGACCCGAAAGGGGCACCTGGACCCCAATGTTCATAGCAGCAAGGTCCACAGTAGCCAAACTGTGGAAGGAGTTGAGATGTCCTTCAACAGACAAATGGATAAAGATGTGGTTCATATGTACAATGGAACATTACTCAGCCATCAGAAAGGATGAATACCCACCATTTACATTGATGTGGATGGACCTGGAGGGTATTAATGCTGAGTGAAATAAGTCAAGCAGAGAAAGACAATTATCATACGGTTTCACTCATATGTGGAACATAAGGAACAGCTTGGAGGACCACAGGGGAAGGGAGGGAAAACTGAATGGGAAGAAATCAGAGAGGGAGACAAACCATGAGAGACTCTGGAGTCCGGAAAACGAACTGAGGGTTGCTGGAGGGGAGGTGGGTGGGGGAATGGGGTACCCGGGTGATGGGCATGAAGGAGAGCACGTGATGTGATGAGCACTGGGTGTTCTACGCAACTGATGAATCGCTGACCTCTACATCTGAGACTAAGGATACACTCTATGTTGGCTAATTGAATTTAAAGTAAAAAAAAAAAAAAAAAAGACCAGCTGCCCCTGGTGAGGAGGTACCCAGGGAGTGCGGGGGCAGACGGCACAGCCCGGGCTGACAGGGTGGTGCTCACATTGGTACAGGAGCCACCAGGCTGGCACAGGTGAGAGGTGGCGCATCCCAAGGCCCCAGCCAGGAGTTTCCTTGGGGCAGGGAGGAGGTGACCTGTCCCGGGAGCGTTCTGCTCTCTTGTCTTTCCATGGACAAAAATTATGGCATTTGAGAGTCCCTCCTTTGATTAGCATGTTGCTCTAGAGCCCACGGTGCAACATAGCTCCTCCGGGAGACCAGCGTGGCGGTGGCGGGCGGAGAACTGGACTTGGCAGAAGCAGCCTGGATCTGGGTTCCAGTTCCACGGGCTCCGCGGCTGTGCACCCAGGGAGGGATTCCATCTCTGTCTCTTCCACCGGAAGCGTGTCTGATTTGGCTTTTGCCAACTCTCGCTAAGAACTCACCACGGCTCAGCTCCATTACCTTGATGACCCTGCCTGGTGGGGAGCCTCACCCACGTGGAAAGGGGTTCACAGAGGCCAGGCAGCCTGCCAAGGGACACGCAGTGGGCACTGGCTCGAAGCCCCTCTCTCCCTGCCACCCGGGACCACTCCGGAGC